GCCTTTTGGGGGGAATCTTTGCCTTTCTTCAGGGGAATATTTTGGGCCCTCTGGGGTTTTCCAGGTTCTTCTCGGGGCAAGGGGGGACTATTTTAACGCCCCTTTGGGGTCATTTGCCGCCAAGTCATATTGTTGTTCAGGTCCCCTCTCTTTTTTGGAACGCTTGTACCCTCCACGGTTCGGTGTTGGCGCGGGGGTCCCCCTTGGGGTGCATCGTTACAGCTGACGACGGGATTACCACATTACCACTGCGGTGTTTCTCCTCCTGGGAGTCTTCTTGCCCGGCTTCCTCCCGTTTTCGGCTCTATACGTTCGGCGTGGCTCACCCTCCATGCCGTGAACAGGCGCTTTATCCACCCTATATTCTTCTCGGGGGCGGGGGAGTGTGCCGGGGAGGGCGGAGGAGAGCAGGGTGAGAATGAGACGCTGGGCGAGGACACGTCCATGGCGCGTCCACGGTACGTCCACGGCGATGCATGTCCGGCGCACGGCTCGCATGCGTGTGGCGCTGTGTGGAGCGCGGCAGTGGGGCAGCTCAGGGCAGCGGAGCCCTGCCGAGACCATCACGCCGAGGAATCTCGGTCAACCTCGGGTACCCTCGGGTACCCTCGGGTACCCTCGGGTCCTCGGGTCACCTCGGGTGCGTCATCTCTCGGGTCATCTCGGGTCTCATCTCGGGTCTCATCTCGGGTCATCACAAGTATTGTGAAGACCTGCCGAGACAATCAAGTCGAGAACGGTCGGTGGCGGCGAGGGTGGCGGGGATGGCGGCGGCCCCGGCGGCGGGGGCAACGGAGCTGGCGACGGAGGTGGCGGCAGCGGCGGCGGCAGCGGCGGCGGCGGCGGCGGCGGCGGCGGCGGCGGCAGCGGAGGCTGCTGTGGCGGCGGCGACGGCGGCGGCGATCGCGGCGGCGGCGATGATGGCGGCGGTGGCGCTGGCGGTTGCGGGGAAGGTGGCGGCGCTAGCGGTTGCGGGGAAGGCGGCGGGGAAGGCGGCGGGGAAGGCGGCGGCGGCGGCGCCCGCGGTAGCAGCCAATACAGCGGGGCTGGGGGAGGCGGGGCTGGGGGAGGGGGAGGCGGCGAGAGGGGCGGCGGCAGCGGGTCCGGTGGCGGCGCCAAGGGGGGCGGGCGTGTGGGCGGAGGGCGTGTGGGCGGCGGCGGCGAGGGCGGCAAGGACGGCGGGGACGGCGACGGCGGCGGGGACGGCGGCGGCGGCGGCGACGGCGGCAGGGCAGGCGGGGGCGGTGCGGGCTGTGGCGGGGCGGCAGGCGGGGTGGGCGAAAGTGGCGGCGACGGCGGCGGCGGCGGCGCGAGCGGCGGGCGCGGGAAAGTGTGCACGACCTTGGCAAGGATGGGAGGTACCTGAGAGGTGCGAGAGGCGAGGTGGCGAGGTGTGTGGTGGCGAGGTGTGTGTGGGGCACGGGGGCTTGGCTCCCCCTCGCGTCTCCACCTCTCCACCTCCCACGACAGCCCCCCACGACGCAGCGGAGCCCCCCGCGCGCCGCGGCACCTCAAGGCCCGGTGCGCGTGTGAGCGGAGTGCAGCACGCGAGAGTGATATACACAGAGAGAGAGAGCGAGCACCTCGAACGCAATCGAGCTCGAGCAGACGTCAGAGCTCGCACACAGGCTGCGCATGAAGTTCAGAAAGACGTTGCCCGCACACCAGCGCACGCTGAAGACGCACAGCGGCGCGACCTCCCCCCGACTCGCCGTCATCGCCTGATGGACTTCTTTCCCGGTCGGCCCGGGCACGCCGGGCAGCTCCACGATCTCCACCAACGCAGATTCGCCGCCCCGGAGAAGGGTGACGCCCGTCATCTGGCCGACCGCCTCCCTGGACGGGGCACCGGCGGGGATAAGCATCAACAGGACGTCGACCACGATCGCCCGCAACATCACGTCTGGCCGACCCTGCGCCTGGCTTGGCAGGAGCCCGAGGTCGAGTTGAAACCGCACCGAGGGCAGGTAGGTGTCGCCTGGGGGAAGAGTCGGCGGCGGCGCTGCAGGCATTGGCTGCTGGGGGGGAGCGGACGGCGGTGACGGTGACGACGGTGGCAACGGCGGAGGTAGATGCGGCGGCGAAAGCGGCGGTGGCGGCATCGTGGGTGGCGGTGACGAAGGAGGCGGGACTGACGGGGGTGGTGACAAAGGCGGCAGCCTCGGCGGCGGCGATGGTGGCGGCGGTGGCGCTAGTGGCGGTGGCAGTAGTGGCGGCGGCGAGGGCGGTGAGGGCGACGGAAAGGGCGGCGGCGGAGGCAGATGCGGTGGCATGGGCGGCATGGGCGGAGCCGGCGGCGGTGGCGAGGGAGGAGGGCGTGGCGCCCGTACAAGCCGCCGGAGGCGTTCGCGTCTCGCGGTGCCGGTGATCAGTGGCGGTGGTCTTGGCTCGAGCGGCGGGGGCGGCGGCAGCGGAGAGGGGGACCAAGCCGGCATATACACAGGTGTTGTTAGATGCGCAGGCTGAGCGTAGCGCGCCGTCGAGAAAAAGAACTTGCAGCCTAAGCCTCGCACAACACTGGGCACGGGAGGAAGTGACAAGGGAGAGAACGACGAGGGTGGGACGGCCGCGAGGTGGCATGAAGGTTGCAGCGAGAATCGGCGAGAGACTGCGAAGAGAGATAGGAAGAGGCAGACTCCCTAGGGTGGGCGACGGATAGCGCACCACACACCTCTCCTTAAAATCCCTGTGTGGTGGCGGCGTGCCGTCCTCCCATCCCTCCCTTGGGTTGTCTGTTTTCTTTCTTTCTTTCTTTGGGCACGGGACTGGCTCGCACTGGCACTAACACAGAAAAAGAATTAAAGCAACTGGCGGCCCCGACGGGCACACGCACGCACCTCCCTGTGTGCTGTGTGGTGCACGCCCTCCGAGCGGGGCGGGGTCTGCCCGTCGGGTTGCTGCCCTAGGCTCACCCCTCTTAATATACGAATATAGTCTAAGGGCGTTCACCGTTCTCAGCACACAACTAGGCATGTCTCTGGGCTCAGTGTGACACCAGAAACGAGAAATTAGTTTACTCCGTCCTCTCTTTGGCTAAATTTTGACCCAGCTTGTGGGATGTCCGACTCCGTTTTTTCTTTCGAGTTTCGTTCTTTTCTTATTTCTAATTTTGACCACTCTATACACCACACTCACTTGACACTTCTGAGTTCTGTCGTACTGCAGGTCATCACATCACCGGCGCGCCGCCCCCCGGACTGCCCGTGCCGCGTGCATCGTGCCACGTCCATCGCACACGCCATACCAACGCGCTCACCGGCGCACCACCGCGTCACACCCACAATGCACCGGCAGCCCAGCAGCCGTCACGCGTGGAAGGAGGTGACGATGTCCTATTCACAGTGGCGCCCGCGTGAAGCGAGACGCGCGCCCACCCCCCTTGAGGGCGGACAGCGGCGGCGCTCTCTCCTCCGTACTCCTCGTCGGGTCGCGCAACGCCTTCTTCTCGAGCGTCATGCAGAACGATGCGCCGCACCCGCAATACGACCGGCCGTTCACGTCGAGCACCTGCAAAGAGCCCGCCGGCCCAGGAGGCGTGAACGGCGTCTCTTCACACCCGCCACGCCGCCATGTTTCACACCTGAAAGCGACCGCCGTCGAGGAGGCGGCTGTGCGCCATCAAATCGTGGACGAGCACCGCCACGTTGGAGGCGTACGAGCCTACGGCAACCGTGCCCCGCTCGTCGCAATCCTGTCACGCGCCGCGCGCCCGCCCGCACGAGGTGCAGCTGCCGATGAAGGCGGCGCAGCGTCCCATCAGAATCATCTGCGCCACGAGCACCATCCCCTCGTCCTACTCCACAGGGGCGGCGCGTGAAGAGACGCCGCTCCCCACCCCGCGAGCAGCCGTCGCTCCCCGCCCCCCCCTTCCCCCCCCCTCCATCCCTCCCCCCCTCCCGCGCCTTGAGCAGTCCCGCCGCGTCGATGTCGGAGGATGCGACGGCGGCGAGCGCGGCTGCAGACTGGTTCCGCTCTGTGGCACGGTAGCTCATGATGGCGTAGAGCTGCTCGGGGCGGGGAGAGGGTGGGAGGGTGGCGGGCGGCTCGTGCCGGGGGGTTGGCAGAAGCTCGGGCGCGGGATGAAGGCGAACAACAGCAAGACATGGGGAGCCGCGGGGAGGCAGGAAGAGAACGCAGGATGAAGGCGACCAGCAGCAGACATGGGGAGCCGCGGAGGCAGAAAGAAACGCGGCGAGACTGTGCATGTGCATGTGGAGACTGGGGAGATGGCCTGCTCGAGGCGCGAGTTGCCCTGGTTGATCGACTTGAAGGTCTTGCCTTCGGACATGTCCATCACGAAGAAGCGAGGCGGCACCCAGTACGAGACGGACGGCGCGACCAGAGGCGGGAAGAGGGAGTACCTGCGGCGGCGCAATCCATCGCCAACCCGTCAGACAGACCGCCCATCGGGCGCGAGCAGAGGGCGGAGAGAGGAGAGCACGTGTGCTTGTCCTCCGATCCGACGAGCAGCTGCAGCTCGGCGGGCGGCCTGGTCTGCCGCCAGTACGCCCAGCCGCGGTACAGCTGCGCGTACTCTGGAAACGACTTGGGAGGCAGCCGGTCCTCTCGCCTGTTCCAGCGGGAGGTGTGAGCGAGCGCCGTCCGCAGCCGCCGCCCGCGACAACCAGCCGTCTCTCACCGCCGCGTCTTGAACTTGTCTGTGCGGCGGACGTGCACGGCGACGCAGCGGGCCGGGTCAAAAACGGCGACCCCGCCGCCGCCGCCGCCGCCGCCGCCCGCCGCCTCCTGCAGCCGCCGCGCCCCCCTTCCCTTGCCCTTACCCTTGCCCTTGCCATTTAGCTTGCCCACCGCCCTCTCCGCGAGCTGCCCGAAGGCGGGGTCCACGCTGGACAGCACGGTCGGCACCTCGCCCCTCGCGGCCTCTGCGACGGTACGCGAAGCGTTTGAGAGCGGGTCCGAGGTGGTGAGTGAGCCCGAGAGCTCGACGAGGAGGGAGCGCATCGCCACGCTTGGGCGGAAGAGGAAGGCCGTCAGCTGCGCGTGGAACCACTCCTTCGGATGCGGCTCAGCGAGGCCGGCCAGGCTGCCCAGACGACCCTCGGGCACGTCAGTGCACCAACGGATGCCGACCTGGATGACCTTGCGGTGCGTCGCCAGCGTGCAGTTGGAGGCGGGCTCAAAGTAGCAGTCGAACGAGCGAGAGGGGCAGGCGACCGGGTTGGTGTAGTGGGAGGTCGGCAGGTGGTAGACGTGGCCCTTGAGCAGCGCCGCGAGCAGCCCGAACTTGAGCGAGACAAGCTGTGCGCCAAGCCCGAGCCCCCAAAAGTATTCCTGCCGCTGCACGTGGCCAACTGTCTGACCGCACTCGGCAGGGTGCTGCATTTGGTGCAGCCAGGCGGAGAATTTGGCCACATCGCCGGACATGCTTCCGGCTCGTCGGCCGCACACACGAAGTTGGTTCAGTCTTCACGGGTGTGGTATTTGACGCGCTTTCAAACCCCGCGTAAATTCAAATTGCAACTCTCTACACGTACACTGACGATGCATACTACAGGTGGCCTGACGGTGGTACCAGGCACTTAGACGGAGAAGTATTTGGTGAGTGAAATGTCACTTTGTCAGCATAGCCGGCACGCCCGCCGCAAAGCTTCCACTCGGGAGCGGCTTTGCGGGCTCGGGGCCGGGCGCGGTGAGCTCAAAGAAGGGCACCGTCCTCGTGCGAGCACCCTCGAGGACGAGTCGCGTCTTGCTCCGGACAGCGGCCTTGCCGGCGCGGAATGCGACTTCAAAGTCCCGGCTCTCGGCGAGGCTGCGGAAAAAGCCGCGCACGAAGAGGTAGGCCGCCTCATCCTGCACGTCCGTCTCCCAGCAGACGACCACCGGCACGCCGCGGCTGCGGCACTTGCGCCCGAGATCCAACGAGCCGCAGCCGTTGAGCACGACAAGCTCGATCGTGCCGCTCGAGCCCGGGTGGGTGCGCGCATGCTCGCCCAGCAGCGCCGCCACCCGGTCATTGTCAGCCGGTGCGAGGTTGCCCTCCGAGTCGGTGAAGCCGAGCCGCTTTGGCCGGCCCTCGTCGTGCAGGTTGGCGTGGCCCGAGAAGAGGAAGTAGCAAGGCGACCTGCCCCGCGCGCCGCGCTCCGCCAGCTCGGCCTCGAGCCTCTCGAAGGTGCAGTCGCGGTCGGCGGCCTGCGCCTCCTGTCGCCTCTTCAGCACCTTGTAGTGGACGGGCTGGGGCTTGTCCTTGCGGAGGGAGAAGGCCGTGCCGCCGATGATCGAAGCGGGGACGGCGTGCGAGGCGGCGAGCGCGTCGTTGAGCGCCTGCGGAAGCGCGTCGTCGAGGTGGTTTGGGTGGTCGGGGTTGCACACGAAGGCCAGCAGGAGGTCGCCCCGCCTCTGCGCGCAATCGCGCTGCTCGCGGAGCAGCTCCTCGCGCAGCTGCGTCGACTCGGCAAAGAGCATCTGGCTGCGCAAGTCTCGGATCTGCGCGTCGGCCGTGTGCTTGTCTCGCAGCGCCTTTGCCTTGACGCCGCCAGGGTCCAGCGCCGCCCATCCACCGTGCGGGGGCCTGTCCTCGAGGCGGAGCCTGCCGACGAGATAGCCAAGAGCCATGGCGTGGTTGCCGCCAAAGACCCCCATCGCCTCGGCCACGAGGTCGTCGGTAATGTGGGGGTGGGAAGGGCGCTCCCCCAGCTGCAGCCGGTCGAGCGCGGCGGCGAGGTCGGGGTCGACGCCGTCCGCCGGCACTCCGGCGTCGAGCAACAGCCGTGCGCAGCCGGCGTTGCCGCACTTCAAGCACTGCTGGAGCGCGTTGAACTCTGCCGAGTAGAGCCCGTGGTCCAGCCCCGGACTGAATTTGTGGAAGGGCTCCACTCCGTGTTGCAGCGCACGCCTCTGCACCGCGGCCAGGATGGCCTGGACGGTGCGCGCCTGCGCCTCGCTCAGCGGTGCCATGCACGCGAATCCAATGGGCGCGCAATCGTACGCGCCCCGCTGCGGCAAGCCCAGCTCGACGTGGTAGTCGAGCAGATGCGGCGAGGATGCGAGCACGCGCGTGACCAGATCCGCGTAGTTGTAATGCGCAGCTTTGGCGAGGCACTCTGCGATCGGCCAGACATGCTGCAGCTCGCCACGCTGCGCGGGCTCGAGGCCGAGTAGCACCAGCGCGGGCTTCAGCTTTAGGCGGATGCACGCGTAGGTGCCCGTCTCGTCGGTGTGCGACCAGACGGGCACGATGTCTCCGCGCAGAGGCAGCCGCTCAAAGACGGTTGCCCAAGTGCCCATCGCTGCATTCTCCTCGAGCGAGAGACTGCGCCGCAGCGTCTCCTCGCGACGGTCCAGCGCCGCCCGAATCAGGCCCGGGTCGACGCCGTCGTCGCCCAACGAAAGGAGCAATGCCGAGGCGGCAAGGTCGGGCTGGCTCTCTGTGAGCATAACCAGCTCGACGGAGAGCGACAGCACCTCTGGCGGCAGCAGTGGTGGCTGCGTTGGCGGCAGCGGCCGCGACTGCGGTGTCTGGCTTGCGCGTGCGCTCGCCTCGATGCCGAGTAGCACGGACGCGATGGTGGCGGCCACGCGCGACGGGTCTAGATCCTCGGCAGCCATGGTCAACCGCGGTGGCGTGCTGCGGATGCTGCTGCCTCCGCTTGAGACGCACAATGCTGGCCGGCGTCCGCGGAAGGCGAGAAGCTCCCACTCCGGCTCCAAGCCGCCACCATCCTGCTGTACGGCACCGGAGGGCGCTGATGCGGGCGCCACTGCAGGCGAGCTCGAGCTCGCTGCTCCACTGGTGTTGGAGGCAGTTGCAGGAGGCGCCTCTGCATTGGCGTTGAAGCGGGTGACCATCGGGAGGGGCGGGTGGCCAGTGTAGTACTTTCGCGGCTGGCCGCCGTACTGCTGCGCCTTCTCGTCCATCCATTTTCGTCGCGGGCGATCGCTAGTCTTGCTTGCGAACCATACCCTCCCTTGAATGCAGGCGCGGTTCCAGCAATCGCACGATGGCCCGTTCGGTGGCCGTTGTGGTTGCCACTGTTGCGCGCAGCCCTCAGCATGCGACCGCCCCTGGGTATCGAGGGACCAGAAGTACCACGCGCTGGCCTGAGCATCCCCGCTATAGAAGCAGGGCTCGCCATCGGGGTTTTGATGAGGAGGCATGGTTGGAGCTACGACTCGCGCCCGGCCACGACTCGCGCCCGTCGCCCGGGAACCCCGGGACACGTCCCGGGGCGCAATGCATTTTTTTTAGCTAGCCTTCCGCAAGGCAACACACATGACACATCTCGCCCACAGACGAGACCCTCCAGGAGCGATGTTATGTTCTTCTTCACGGAACAAGCACGCAGAGCTCTAGCCTCTACATCCGGCGCGTGACGGACTGCGTGCGCTCAGCAGCACCAGCAGCACCAGCAGCAGCGATGGCAGCTGCAGCTGCCGTCATGGCAGCTACAGCAACTCATGCATCAGAGGCAGGCGCAACTGTGGCAACAGGTGCAGGCAGCGCAAGCGCAGGTAGCGCAAGCGCAGGCAGCGCAAGCGCGGGCAGCGCAGGCATCGCAGGCGCAGGCAGCGCGCGCGCAGGCTCAAGCGCGGGCAGCGCAGGCGCAGGCGCAGGCGCAGCCACAGGCCGACGAGTGTGTCGTGTGTCATGACGGCCGAAAGTCCGTCGCATTGCTCCCGTGCAAACACTTCTGCCTCTGCGAGGGGTGCGCCGCCAACTTTGGCCCGGGCCGTGCCGGTCTGGCGGGGATATGCCCGATATGCCGAGAGCCCATCGCCGAGAAGCTTCCCGGCTTGTTCATGTGAGTAGCAAGGCGGCGTTCACCGCGTAGCTACTCCACGCACGCACACTCGCGCGCGCATGCGTGTCGCCGCACAGCAATCCACGCGTTCGCGCATGCGTGTCAGGAGAGTACGTTGACATGTTTGTTGATGTGGGGGCCGATCTACCGTTTTCATTTTCTCTTTATCACACAAATCGCCTCAGAGCTCAACGATTATGGTTCTATCAGTCTCCTTGTCGGCGAGAAGGTGCCGCACGGTCGGCGTCGGGAAGGCGTGCTTGCGCCACGAAGCCAGCAGCTGCTCCGTGATCCGCCGCCCGCGCGCCTGCGCCCCGAGCTTTGCTCGCGCGCACAGCACGCCGTCCGGCTTCAGCAGCTCGCGGTGTGTGGCGGCCACCGCCGGCACATCCCCGCGATCGATGGCCACGATGAGCATGTCGTATGCGTGCTTCGCTGGCGCCGCCCCGGACTCTTCGGCGGTGCGTTCCGGGATGACGTCCACGGTGGCATGCAGCGCAGACAGCACCGCCTCATAGGCGCGCCCCTCGGCCGACCCCTTCGAGGTGGCGACGACGCCGATCCGCTTCCCCCTCGGGTCGCACCGCGGGTGCCTCTCCGCAACCTCCTGCACGTGCGCGGCGATCCTCGAGTGCGGAAGCCCGGCGGCGGCAGACACCTAATCGTCGCGATGATTAGCCGAGAGTCATCGAGAGTCATCGAGAGTCGTCGAGAGTCGCCGAGAATCGCCGAGAGTCGCCGAGAGAGTCTCCGTCCTAGCCGGCGCCTTCTCGCGCCAAGCGCGCAGGTCGATGAGGTCCCTGCTATACGGCCCTCCCGTGAGCAAGAGCCGCTCGGCGTCGCCCGACCCGCGCGGGCGCCAAGCCTAGAGGAGAGAGAAGAGCTGCCAGTCGCGAAGAAGACAATGTGCGTGTCCCGCCCGCAGGGGGGGGGCGGCCACGCCAGCACGAAGAGCGTGTGGCTGAAGGCGGAGGGCGACACCGCCGCGCCGGCACGATGCAGCTCCCCGGCCACCCACCTGTCGGCAGGCTCAGCCAAGGTCTACGAGTAGGGAGGGCACGGAGGAGGCGGCGCAGCTCCCCCCACGCCACGCACCACTCTAGGCTGCGCGGGAGGCAGTTCATCCGAAGGACCTGCCCGCGGCCGGCGAGGCTGTCGCGTGGCAGCGCCTGCACTGGATGCGTCGAGGACGCGTCACGGAGGCATGTCCGGGAGAGGTCGAGGGCTGTGTCGCGGGCAGCGCCGTGACGACGGCCGCCGCGTCCGCCTCCGCCGAAGGCCTGGAACGGGCGACGCAAGCCGAGCGGTCGTACGGGGTGATCTGGTCGATCGAGCGGCAAAGGACCTCCGACGCCATCAGAGCCTTGAGCACGGCCTCCGCCTCCCCGCCCGCAACCACGCACGGCGCGAGGGTGCTGGCGCCGCCGCCGGCCGAGGGAGCCTGCAGGAAGGCTCCGCGAAGGCTCCGAGAAAGTCCCGCTGGAAGGGGGGGGGGGGTGACTCGGCCAGCTCCAGCGTGTGCGTCTCGACCGACTCATCTCGTCTCATCTCGGGTCATCTCGGGTCATCTCGGGTCATCTCGGGCCATCTCGGGCCATCTCGGGTCGTCTAGGGTCATCTCGGGCCATCTCGGGTCATCTCAGGTAAGTCTCGGGTCATCTCGGGTCGTCTCGGGTAAGTCTCGGGTAAGTCTCGGGTAAGTCTCGGGTGAGTCTCGGGTAAGTCTCGGGTCATCTCGGGTGGTCTCGGCAGGCGCCAGCTCCAACGTGTGCATCTCGACCGACTCGATCGCGCGCTCGCCGCGCTCGCGCAGCTCCTGTTCGCACACACTCTCTCTCTGTCTGTGCCGGCCTTGCCGCCTCGGTCTCTGCCCGCGCCCACGCCGCTCCTGCAGGTACTCCGCCAGCCGCTCCGTCTGCGAGGCGCCCTTTGCGGCGGTGTGCAACACCACCCCGCTCGGCGGCAGGTGCAGGCCGCTCGGGCGCGGCGTCTGGATGAGCGGGCCGAGACCGCGCTCGAGGGAGCTGCTCGGCCGGGCGGCGAGCAGGATCAGGTTGTCTGGCGCCTATGGTGATGCGCCGGCAAGGCTCCGGCCAGGCCCGGGCCCGGCTCGGCAGCACGGCGGTGTGGCGGCGCCGTCCCGCTGCCGACGTACTCGACGAGGGCGGTCGAGAAGCCGGCGGCCGCCAGCTGCTGCAGCCGCGCCGCCTCGAGGACGACCCGCGCCGCACGGCCGGCCCGGTAGCAGCTGTCGGCGCCGAGCGCCTGCAAGAAGGCTCCGGGAAAGGTCCGGGAAAGGTCCCGGAAGAGCGCGGTAGCAGCTGTTTGCGCCGAGGGCCTGAAGCGACTCCCAGCGCTTGCAGTCGCGGCCGGAGGAGCCGCCCCGGCCGTGGCGGGAGAGGGCGATCAGGTCGAGGAGGACGGGGAAGTGCGCCTCCGTCAGAAGGGCGCCGAGCGGGCCTTTGGCCTCGCGCGCGCAGAATGCATCCCACTGCATGGCTGGGTGGCAGCACGGCGCGAGGGCGGCGAGGGCGACCCGCTCGCTGGCGAGGATCAGCCGGACAGCCTCGTCGGACGCGTTCCCGCAAAAGTGCTTTGCAATCACCAGCGCGCCGTGCGGGATCTTGTCGTCGAGGACGAAGCCTTGGGCGACCGACGTGCCGTTCAGCCTGGTCACGTCGTGCTCGCGGGAGTCGTAGGTGGGGCACTCCCGCTGCTCGATGGCGACTAGCGGCAGCGCACCCCTGTCACCCCGAGAGATCGCACTGACGTCTTGCAGCACCCTCCCAAGGAGGCCCTTCCCAGCGCCCAGCTCCACAATCGCGGTGACGTTGTCGAGGTAGTGCGTCAGCTCGCCCACGAACCGCTCGAGCTGCGGCTGGTGGAGGGCACGCTTGCCGGTGCGATACCACGTACTCGTGCCGGCGGTCGCCTTCTCGTATGCCCTGGCGAGGACCTCGGCGGCCGCTGGCCCCGGCCGCCGGGCAACGTGGATAGGGATGGAGGCGGCTGCCGCCTCGATGCGGCTGACGGCGTCCGTGACATCGACGGCGGCCGACTGATCCATTCGCTTCGCTTTGAGCCGTCGCCGCACCGGGCCAGAGAGGGCAAGCCTCAAGGTGTGAGTGAGGGGGGGGAGGCGGCGGGCCGTTGCGATGCCAGAGCAAGCAAGCGCCCACCTAGACAAAAGAATTTCAGACGGCAAGAATTTTAGCCTAAGTCGTTCACGGTTGTCCGCGGCCCACTGTGTCCGCTGGTAGGACAGTGATCGCCGCAAACCCTGTGGTCAGCTCCATATGATCTCGGATAGCCACCGGAACGCCAAAAATACAACGAAAAAAAAAACTAATAGAAAAGTAATCATTTCATACCATCCAAGCAAACCCGCGGCCGCAATGAATTAAAAGGATCTGACCTCGGGGCCGATGTGACCAAGCGCTGGTAGCGTGGTTTTACCTCACACCCATGGTCTCACAGTGTGCCGGCAGTCGCCGAGCAGTGTCGCTCACACTAGCCGCAGCACAAGTGACTGAGGGCCAGTGAGGGCGAGCCCATCGCTGTCACAGCTGTGGCAGCCGCACAGTAGGCTGTGTCAACTGTGCAGAGTGTGTGAGCAGCAGAGGAGCTGCTCTCCAGGCTTCTGTCGCAAAGAGCTGCATGCCACCGAAAGCGCTGTCGAGGTTCGCCGAGCGCGGCGAAATCCGGGGACGCCGTCACCGAGTCCGACGAGCGTTCGTGGAGATGGAGACTTTTCACTCCGGACAAACCGACGGGTACACGCACACGAGCTGCGGTCGTGTGGCCGTCATAGTGGCGAGGCTCTCTCATAGAGCTTTACTCTTCTGTCCAGACGTCGAGTCGTAGTTTACAAAACTCCCTCTCGCACAACAGTCAACACTCGGCACGGGACTGGCGGTCACGCGGCGCGGCCCCGTGGGTTGGCTCAACCTCAAATGCCCACGTGCACGTCACCCTCCGCAATCGCCCCCGTGCACTCCGAGCAAGAGCAGATCACCGCGAACCTCGTCGCCTTCACGCAAAGTCGCAAGCCCGCCCGCGCCCGGCGCGCCGTCGCGACCGGCATCGCCGCCGCCGCCGCCGAGGTCGTGGGGGAGGTCGTGGGGCCCGCGGTGCCGGGCGAGGAGGGCGAGGAAGTCGCGGCGCGGGTAGATGCGGTGGCCGAGGGCGCGCTTGTACTCCATCTCGGGCGAGTAGCAGTGCCTAAGCCTCGGGCCACCTCGGGTGATCTCGCGCGATCTCGCGGTTGTGCCCCACCATCGCGCGAGCGGCGGCGCCCGAGCGACCAGAACGCGTAGCCGCGCTGTCGCAGCCACAGGCCGAGCAGCACGAGCTGCGCGGTGCCGTGAGCCCCGGCGGTGCGGACCTGCGGGACGTGTCGGGGGACGTGTCGGGGACGTGTTTGGGGAGGTGTCGGGGGATGGGTCGGGGGCTGTCTCGTGGAGCTGTTCGGGGACGTGTCGCGGTCGTGCGAGGGTGCGCGTGTCGGGGGCGTGTCGGGGGCGTGACGTGGACGTGTCGGGGCCATGTGCGGTGCAGCGCAGACCGCGGTCCATCCAGAGAGCGAAGTGTACACCTAAGAGGGGAGGCTCCGAGAGGGCTGCGGGAAGGCTCCAGGAAGGCTCCGCCGCAGAGGCGAGGCGCAGACCCGACCGACCGAGAAGCCAACCTCGCCTGCGAGCACCTCCTCCTCCTCCTCCCCCTCCTGCTCCTCCTCCCCCCCCTGCTCCTCCCCCTGCTCCCCCCCCTGCTCCCTCCCCTGCTCCTCCCCCTGCTCCTCCCCCCACTCCTCCCTTCGTCCGCGCAGCTCGACGGCCTGCGTAGTGGGTGCGGGAAAAGAGTGCGTGGAGATGGCCGTGTTGCAGCGGCGGTGGTACGGGCGGACGCCAGCCCGAGGACGCGCTGCTCTCGAGCGCTCGTGTACGTGCACGTGTGGCTTTGCATCTAGGCTTCGAGCGCGTGCAGCGAGAAGTTGAGACGCGGGTCACGCGACGCAGCGAGCAGCATCTGCAGGTAGCGCGGCGTGAGCCAGCTCGAGCCGTGCCGCTCCGCCTGGTACCTGCGCGAGAAGACGAGAAGTCATGCGTGTGGAGAAGAGGAGGCCGGCTCTTCACGGCTGCCCCGGTGCCTCTCGAGGCGCGCGCAGCTGGCCTCCGGGTCGCGGCTCACGACGAGCCGCAGTCCGCTCGCGCGGGTGCCGGTGCCGGCGCGCAGCTTGCGGAAGACGCGCCTGACGATCTCGCGTCATATCTCGGGTCATCTCGCGTCATCTCGGGTCGTGCTCTCTCGGGGAGCCGGGCCAGCTCTCGGAAGACGCGCCTCGCCGACCAGTCGCAGTCTCTCCTAGCCTCTCGGGCAGTCTCGCGCGCCTCGCGGAGGAGCTGGCGAGCAGGGCGGGCCAGCAGACCACGCCTACGGACGCGGATCTCGCGATTGGGCCCGATGCGATCGAGATCGCTAGCTATGGGCGTCCCGAGCTGACCATAGTACGGCTGCAGCTCTGGCAGCGGGAGAGGCTCCGTGCCGGCTCCGAGCAGGCGAGCGGTGATGGTGAAGAAGCCCTCGTACAGCAGCCGCGCGTTGAAGGCCGGATCCCACGCCTCGTTCGAGCCAAACCCAAAGAGAAAGTAGTTGTTTTCCTTCAGCTCCGCGTCGCACGCGTCTAGCACCCGCCGCACGGCGTCAATGGTCGCGCCGCCGGGCGGGAGGAACAAGCCCGCCGGCACCGCCTCAAAGTACTGTGCCTTGGAGATCCAGTCGCTGTACGAGCCACTCGTGGACTCATCGCCTGCAGATTGTAAGTGCGTGATGCTGCTCGCTCTGGCAACTCGCGCTTGCTGCTTCCGTTCGAGCTTGGCCTGCTTGCGCCGTAGCTGCCGCTCGCGCACAGCGGCAGCCGCGTCCTCGCTCAGGGAGGCAAACGGCAGCTCGTGAGGCATGCAGGAATTCGCAACGACGGTGCCAGAGGGTAAGCTGCCACAGGGGAATTGTGTTTCGACTGTCGGTGTGTGCGATCGGGCCAGCTTTTGCGGTTCGCCCGTGTGCGCGTTCGCTCACTTCACGTAAACGCACAACCCCGGGCCACTTCACAGCCTTGTTATTGAGAAGAAAATACCTCAAATGGCGCTGTGCGCTGGCCTGTGAGAGGTTGAGGTGCGAGCCCTGGAGGCCCTGGGGATGGGGGGGGACTACCCGCGGGCTTAGAAGGCCCGCGCGCAGGGGGGTGGGGCATTGAGACCGGTCATGAATGAGTGCGCGACACGCATGTTCACACCGACCCGACTTACTTCCCCGACGCAACAACCGAACCTGCTTGAGAGTGGCCCGCTCAGGGTTCGGCGCCTCCCCCGCCCTATTTTTTCTTCCAACTGTAACGGCTTTTGACCGGCCGCCTCGCCGGACTTCCCAGCCGACGCGAGATGGGTTTTATGCTCGCTGTGCTGACGATGCTCGGAGCGACGGTTGCAGACTAGTCGGTGGAGCTTTGGATCACTGCAGACGTCAAGGGCAGACGTGCTACACGCCACGCTAACCTTGAGCACGGGCGGCGCGCTGCACGACGCGAGCGTGCGCGAGGTGACGGTACATCGTCGGAGACACGAGAACGAACGTACACTCATGACCAGACAGACAGCAGGAGACGGGCGCGCACATCACTAATACGTAGACACCGTACTGAACAAGACACCAGGCATGGACACTTACCCGGGCCGTCCCGGAAGCCATGGGTCTCGCTCTCTCTCTCTCGCAGTAGACAAAGCAAAACGCAGAAGACAGGTGCGATCCTAGGGGGCTGCCGCCTGCGCCGTTTGCTGCTCTCAAATCTGCCAGTCGCCGCTCGGACAGGTGACGACGTGCAGGTCCACCTTCTTCTGCCGGCAGCCGTGCAGGCTTCCAGCAGCCACCTGGTGGTTCGGCTGGATGGACTTCGTCCACGCGTCGCGGCTCGAAGCATCGCCCAGAGGGCTGCCGCACCAGAAGTTGACCACCTTCTTGTCGTCCTGGCCACAGAAGCCAACCTCCCACTGGCCGCTAACCGGATCGACACACTTGCTTGCCTCGTAGATCCGCCGGATCTTCTCGTCGGGATACTTGAATTTATCGCATGCCATCGGATGCAGGCCCATCGCTGCCAGCGAGGGGAGGTTCGGAGCCTCGGTAATGCAGGCATCGCAGGCGCCGTTCAGGTCGGGGCAAAGATCCTTGTTGTTCCAGTCACCGTCAATGCGGCGCTTCGGCTCGGGCGAGTTGTTGGGGTCTCCGTCGCGGAGAGCAGGGCAGTCCACGTTCTCCTCCTTGAGACAGTCCGCGGGTGTCCCTCCCTTCGGACAGGTCGCGACCTTGTAGTCGAACTTGGCCGCGTAGTCCTCGCACGCGGGCGTCTCGACGTCAACAAATGTGGCGTAGTACTCACTGGACATGCTGAAGCCCTGGTAGTTGGAGAACGAGGGCGAGACCTGGCCCTGCGTGGCGCCGCCGCCGATGCACAGCTCCTGGCCGGGCCCGGTGAGACCGACGTTCATCTCAATGAAGGTGTTCTTCGTGAGCTTTGACCCGACGACCGCACACTTGCCATCCGGACCCACCACGGCGCAGTGCTTTGGGTTGCCGTGGACAGGGTCGCTGTCTCCTTGCCAGCTGAACCGCCAGGCCAGACGTGTCGAGGCGGCGTGCTGCTGGGTGCCGCTCTGCAGCTTGTCCTTGCCGTGTGCTTTGATCGTCTGGCAGCTGTCCTCTGCGCGGATGTCGCCCTCGTTCTTCCCGTTCGGGAGCTTGCACTTGTTCTCCGGACCGCCAAAACCGACCATGTCGATGTCGAACCCGCACTTGTTCTCCACGATGATGTTGTTGATGTGCAGGCAAGTGCTTCCCACGTCTTTGTCGACGCACTGATTCGGCTTGAACCAGCGCCCGGGGTGCTCTTGGTTGTACGCGGGATCGGACGTGCACTCGCACTGCTGGCCCTGGCACTCTTTGTACTGCGCGCAGTCGCTCGTCGTGTCGCAGGTATGGTACACGGAAGCCGCCTCTTTCACGGGCAACGCGCTTGCGACCCCAGCGGCGGCGATCATCACGACCTTTGAGAATGTCGCCATGGTGGTTGACTTCCTGACGCGGTGAGGCGCGGGGACGCGGTGAGGCGCGCTCTCGGCCTGGCGCGGCGCGACGGGCGGAGCGGGCAGCGCACGAGTGTGAGGTGAACTGACTCGTGGTTTGCTTCTGTCTGAGTCCTGCAAGGTTTGCTTCTGAGACTGAGTCCTGCAAGGAAATCGGCGGCAATGATGTTCATTGACAAGGAGGCGCCCGGATTCCTGGGCTGCTTTCTTTAAATTCTGTTTCATCAGGCGTAGGCAGAGTCGAGATCCGCCTGTCTGTGTGGGAGGGAGGGGTCTGGCTCTAGGGCTGGCTCCGTGGTCGGCTTCGGGGCATGTGAGAGAGAGAGATTTTTTAGCAATGCGTTTGTTGTTTGGCATGTGTGCTTGGTGTGAAGAAAGCGCGGTTTCAGCCCGCCATCATCCTCTCTCGAAACACAGGCCCCTACGTCGCGATTCCGGAGGCACGCGAGGCGCGCGCGATGCCCTCTCTATATCGTCGCCGCCACACGCGTGAGGGGTCAGTGAGGCGTGTGTGCGCGTTTTCGATTCGTTCTCGAGGTGCGTTTTGCGGCATTTGACCCCACTCACAGTTATTGTTATGGTGTTATGGCTCTCTGGGAATAGCAGCCCATAAGGGGCCCATAACAGCCATAACACCCATAACATGTTATGGGCTGCTATGGAGGGCCGTCCCGGGTCCACGGTGTTATGGCCCGAGAGGCCACGCCAGACTGCTCGCCGCTGGAATTTTCGCTTCGCGCGCTGCCGCGCGCGAGGTAGGTTCGGCATCGATCGCCAAATATTTTCTCTTTTGCCCTCAAGTTATTGGCACCAGCCAGGCAGTTGATTTGGCCCTGGCACCAGCCTTGGCAGTTGAGTTGGCCTTGGCACCAGCCTTGGCGGGCGGGCACGCGGGACATGCACAGGCGCCAAGGGGCGCAGCGCCGACAATCACGGCGGTGATTGCGGCGCAGGTGGGGGGACGGGAAGTCCGTCGGCGTTGCCGGGGGCCCAAGGAAGCGCGAGGGAAAAATTCCGCCGCTGAGGGCGCTCGTGCGGCAATAGCCGGGTGGAGGGGGGAGCGTGCCGGACGGGGCGTCGTCGCGCCGTCCGATGGTCTGCTGCCCCGCGCAGCAACCGTCGGGCGACGACCCGGGGGCCAAAAACCCGGCGACGACGGCGCTCTGGATGGGGCGTGACCTCCTGCCTCCAACCTCCTTCCTTTTTGAGCAGGTGTGACGCCGCGCGAGCGACGCTCCGAGATCGCCCGAGATAGCGCGGCGCGGCCCCGAGATCGCCCGAGATAGCGCGAGATCGCCCGAGATCGCGCGGCGCGGCCCGGGGCGGGGTGGATGGGTTGGGAGCGGGGGGGCACAAGTGATCAGTGCGGTAGATGGTCAGCTCGAGGCGCGTGAGCCGGACTTGTGAGCCGGACCACCCCCTCTTGAACCCTGCGTTGTTGAGCCAGGACTCAACATACTCGGGCTGTCGCCGTCCCAAACTGTCACTCCCCTTTCTCCCGGCCGGGGTGGGGCGCGCGCGGGGGCGGCGGGTGTGCGGCGAGTGTGCGGGATGTCTGTGGGCCCGAGAGCGATGCCATGTCCGCCTTGCGTTGTTTCATAACACCGAAGGCTAAGCTCAAAATTCAATAACATCAACCTGCCTCCCACGACCGCACCGGCCGTCGTATGACGCTCGGCAAGCGAGCAAGAGAGCGAATCGGGGAGAACCGGAGCCCCGGGAGGACCGAAGGTGGAGCTCCGGGACCGAGGACTAAGCAAGTGTCTATGTTTGGGCGTGGTGTCCAGTGTAATGTCCACTAGCTCCGAGTAGAAGGGGCGTCCTGCAGTTAAGGGGAAACCCGGTACGCGGGTCCAACCCTCGGAGACCTGTGTTTACTTTATGGCCCTCTTCCTGCGAACGCGCACCCCCCCCCTAGGGGTCAGGGCTCTCTAGCCCGTAGCCCGATCCCGATCATCCGGCCCGCTGGGTGCGCTTCTCAGCTCCCCGGCCCTGGATGTGAGGCTAATGACTGCACTCCAAGTGCTCCAAGTGCTCCCCCTTGTACACACCCTCGCCGCCTGCGCGCATGGTGTGTCTCCAGTCGCGCAGCTGGCCAGATCCGTCCTTCACACCCTTCTCCATCTACCCACCCCAGCGCCCGCGCCGAGCGGTGTCATCCTATCCGAGAAAGACTGACTGTTTTTCACGCCCCTTCACTTACTTACTTGCCGGCCGCCAGGTGCTCCAAGGCAGCGGGGGCTACTCTCTCTCTCTCTCTCTCTCTCTCTCTCTCTCTCTCTCTCTCTCTCTCTCTCTCTCTCTCTCTCTCTCTCTCTCTCTCTACGGTACATCGTCGGAGACACGAGAACGAACGTACACTCATGACCAGACAGACAGCAGGAGACGGGCGCGCACATCACTAATACGTAGACACCGTACTGAACAAGACACCAGGCATGGACACTTACCCGGGCCGTCCCGGAAGCCATGGGTCTCGCTCTCTCTCTCTCGCAGTAGACAAAGCAAAACGCAGAAGACAGGTGCGATCCTAGGGGGCTGCCGCCTGCGCCGTTTGCTGCTCTCAAATCTGCCAGTCGCCGCTCGGACAGGTGACGACGTGCAGGTCCACCTTCTTCTGCCGGCAGCCGTGCAGGCTTCCAGCAGCCACCTGGTGGTTCGGCTGGATGGACTTCGTCCACGCGTCGCGGCTCGAAGCATCGCCCAGAGGGCTGCCGCACCAGAAGTTGACCACCTTCTTGTCGTCCTGGCCACAGAAGCCAACCTCCCACTGGCCGCTAACCGGATCGACGCACTTGCTTGCCTCGTAGATCCGCCGGATC